TTCAATAAGCAATCCTGAAAAATATTTGGGGGTGCTTAACTTTTTTCCAGGTGTATAGTTTATAATGAAAACATATAATAATAAACAAATGAAAATAATAAAAATATAGTTTAACACGCATAAGAAGTTTAGTTTACCTGTATTATATTGTAGAATTTACATAGAATATAGTTCATATTAACAAAAATAATAAAAAGGATTGCCTTCAGATGTGTCAGCAGCTAAGAAGTGGTTTTAACTGAAGTAGAAATATTCCACTCTCAATATTTACACTTTGTCTTGACGTGACCAGATCTATCAGTAGGAAGTGTTCATGTACCACTGAAGTCACTTTAATAGCCATCTTAAATTATCTCAAGTGACTTTAATGGATTAATAACTATGTAATACAATAATCTTAAAGGTGATTTGAGAGTATTGACTTGATTTAACCCTCTCGTCACGAGCACCCTTTACTGCGCATGTCACGATGTTTTTAGTAAGTTCATTCAAAATGTAATTAAACTATTTTTTGTTTATGTTATACCAATTAGTATAGCAAAATAGCGTAGCCAATAATCCATATTTTAATAGTATGCTAGTTTTAAGCTCTTAATTTAATAAGACAATATAAAAAATATCCCGAATTTACCCTAGTGTGAGAAATGCGACTTTTTCCTAGGCATCCCATCTTTTCTAATTTATTTACCCTCCCTCCCCCCAAGAAGTACAAAATTTAATGTAAATTACTCATTAAATGTTGTCATCGCTCAGACAAAGCATAATTTTTCATAGCCTTCAATTTTTTTTGGTTACAGAGACTTCAAATAGAAACATAAGACTTCTCTTGCCAAACCAACCTGTCACATCCTCTCTTTCAAAATTTATTAATAGCTCTCTCTGACGTCCAGTAATATTCATAACCAATAGCAAGTCAACGAACGAAGCTTGTACTGAAAGATAAATTGTTGTGGTGCGGATGTAATAATGATAGTCTAAAAATTTGATATTTACTGTTACAATATTAAGTATTCACTAAATTATTGAGCGTATACGAATACTATGCCACCGAACTCGAATACATTAACTTTACATTTCAAAGTATTCGAATAAAAGTACGAATACTCCCAAAGCTGTATCCGAATACGAATACCTGGTGTCTGTTCACGACATATTTATTGCTACAAGAATTTGTCTAGTGTTTTAATCTTACATGTATTTAAAATTTATTATAACATCTTATAGCACAAGACATATAAAACAAACACAAACTAAGATCAGTGGTATTGTAAGAAATGTGAACAATAAGTATCCTAGCTATCAACAGAAAACTGACAGAGTTCATGATCGTAAAGTGAATAATTGTTAGAACAACAGTTTTCTGTTGATAGCTAGGATACTTATTGTTCACATTTCTTACAATACCACTGATCTTAGCTTGTGTTTGTTTTATATGTCTTGTGCTTTA